AAGTACTTTAAACTGTATAAATTAGTTACCCGGGCAATTGATTTACATCAGCCAATCAGACAAAAGTCCTTCTATGAGGTTTATTATGAAAAGAAATTGGTTATCACAAATATGTAATTACGTAGACGATCTTGTAATTCAAGGCGCCTTTTTCTTATTATTTCTTCGGCTGAGTAAATTTTACTTGATACTAATGTTGTTAATGAACGACTTTTAGATTGTTTTTCAATTAAATCACAGCATCATTAGCAAGATTTTTATTTATTTTAAAATAGATTGGAGCATATTGTAGTAATGGTAGAATCGTTTATATTCATTAAAAATGATACTCAAGAAAATTTCTTAGACAATTGTCTAATCGAAACACTAAAATCTGAACATTGTTCAAACAAACCCAAGGTTGGAATTTTCTTTATACTCTTACGCAAAATCCTGAATCTACATTCATTAAATCATTTCATCACATCATTTCATCACTATTTAAGCAAAAATCAAAATTCTATGGTTCAGCTTACCCTCAAAATTCTATATATGGTTCTCCAAAAATTTGGAACTATGCACTAATTACAAAACTTTGTTTTGAAGACATATTAAAAGCACGTGTTAGTTTAGATCGGCAACTACCAATGTTGAACATACCAACGAGTTGGAGTGGCCGTAGTTGGTTACATCATCCGAAATTCACCAGCCAATCAAAAATTAATATCACGTGTCAGATCAGCGAATAAAAATTACGAATTTTAAGAATTATTGATACGAATTTTAAACAAAATTATTTAAAATTTATATTTAACTTTAGAATAGATATCTTAGAAATAACAACAAGATAGACATATGTGTCTTGTTATTCAATTATCTAATTAATTATTAAATGCTTTGCTTACAAATAAACCTTTACTAGCTTTCAACCCGTGGCTTCGCCACGGGGGTAGCACAAAAAAAAATCCAGAACAGGTTTGTGGCGCTGATTTCCTGAACTACAAATCAGATTTTGAAGTTCATATATAACGTAACATGATCAGAAAATTCAAAAACAACCGTTCATTTTGCCAAAAGACGCTTATTTCATGAAAATTCGAATAAGAAACGACCTTTAGTGCTCTAACAAAAAGCATTCGTTGAGCAATTTTACTAATAAATTACCTCCCTTTAATTTCTAACCCTGATTCTAACCCTAACATTAATTGTCTTTTAAAAATTCTGCTGCGCTGCAAACCTGTCACAGAATTTTTATTTCATAATTGTATAGTACGCATATGTCCCAATTTATCCAACTTGTTGTAATTAAATACCATAGCCCGTAACCTGATTATGGTCGTATATTTCACATACTATTACATATTTGGATAGACTTTTGATATTTAATAATTTTAGTTATGATAAACCCTTAACAAATAGCATAACCGATCATAGCACTGATTTCTCATACTATCAAGATTTGAGGTTTGGATTTTTATTAATTTTAGTTACGACCAATATACATACCAATATAGTACGTAATTTTTTTTTCAAACAATTATTTGGTTTGGGAATTTAGGTACATTGTTTACT